GGAAACGCTTCCTTTTACCTGTTACATACTTTTTGACGAATCCAGTATACCCTTTTACTGTACGATTAACGGGTATAAAAATTTTTCACTCACCATGGTTTGAATATTTTCACTAAAATATTTCGGTTTTTGTAAAAATTATCACTGCGTAAAATTCCGGTTTTTATGTTGGAGAAAAATTGATATGAACTGTGGGGAAACCAGTACAAAAATGAAACTTTCTAGACATGGTACCCCCAAGTTCGAATGAATGGAAAGTCATGGCACTCCACATTGAATTTGTGGATGTGTCCCATAATGTGAATAACACAAATAATTGTTATCAATAACATACTATATTATATTTATTACAGTACATTGTTGGCTTTTAAAATCAATAACCGCGAATTCTTAAGATGACCATATGTATCCAAGGTATCTTATGTGTGATACTAATTGAATTAGGCAAGTTTAAGCTTAAGAGGTGAATATCGAAAACCCGCAATTTCTTAAGAGACAGCTACAAGGATGGTTTAGGTAATATTAAATGCTTATCCAATGTTTTATGAGGTACTTTAATGGTGAATAACGAAAAACCCCGAGTTCTTAGGGTGGCCAAGGTGTAATATGTGCGGTACCTACTTAATTTTAATTTAATTTAAAATGTTATATTCAAATAACAATCAATATTTTGCAATTCAGTCCGGAATTCACAGCACACGCAAATAAGCCGCTAGGGGCGATATAGGCTAGTTGGCGCTGCAAGCCAAGTGGCGCTATAGAAGAAGAAGATTGGTGGCGCTATTGACTAGGTGTGTTAGTGTAAAAAAAAGAGCTTCCTTATATATACATATCTCCATCGCTCTCGCACTTCCTTAAGCTGATAAACGGGTATCTAATAGTCGAGGCCATCGACTATAGCGTATTCTCTTGATTAGTTTTCCTAATATTTAAGATTAGTTAATACTGAACTAAATTCACATTTTTGTTCGTTTCGTGAACCAATTTTTTTTTTTGTTTATGTTATAAAATTCATATAAATGTATTTTCTTATCTTTGTTCCCTAACATGTAAGATTAATATAAAACTGAAATGTAATTTTTTGCAAGTTTGAACAAATTTTTCTTTTAATTATGTTATTTAATTATATAAATGTATTATTATATTATTGTTCTCCTAATATGAACGATTAATTTATAAAATATCGTTCTTCATAAGTAAAAGAAAAGTATGTAATTTTATTACATCCCAGTCGGACCGTCAGGCATGTGGTGCTTGATTCCACAATAATTTCCATAGGAAAAATTCAGGGGTTGGCACCGCGTGAACTTTTTCAGGGCGTTTCGGGCCTTTTTCTATAGCAATTTCCTATGTAAAGCGGTCGCGAACGTTTCAGTACTGAAAATTTTGGACAACCATTATAAAAGCGAATGGACTTTGTCCATAATGGGCATGTGAACCTGCAGCCCTTTTCCATAGGAAAAATGTACAAATGTTCCATCGGAAAAATGTATGGACAGGTCCGACTGGGATTTAATCGAGTTAATCGATGTTTTTTTTTTTCAAAAGATCGAAATGAATCGATGCACTAATTTTTTTTTCCAAACTCTTCTAGTATACCCTTTTACTCTACGAGTAACGGGTTTATTGATGTTACCGGAGGTATTGATGTTAAACAGATGATGATATGATATTAGCTCTAACAAATTTTAACAAAATAGTACATATAAGAACATTATCGGTAAACAAAAAATGTGACCAACAAACGGTGTATTACATACTAAACATGAAAAATACCAAATAATGGAAGTCGGGCTTACTTGTTTCCATATACCAAAAATAGCGAACAATGGAAATCTGACTTGCTGAATACTGATACTTACTTATCGGTAGGTAACGCGAAGGTGTTTTTATTGATAAATGACCACTCTATTCGACCCTCTTTCATCTGCGCAGTCGGAATCGGATCCCTGTGGCATGTTCTTCTACTACAACCAAGGCACTCTAATACGCCCAATTCTTACATGTCGGAGAAGCACTCTCCTTGCTGAGGGGCGAGATGTACATATATAGAATCTCTAATAATCATGGGTTTACCCGCGACATAGGTATCAACCACAGCCACCACGCATAGTTCTCCGCATCAGGGAAAAGTTCTAAAGGAGTACGTTGACGATGTCGGTAAATATCAACCAATCTTATCTTCTTGGTGTCGTCCCAAGAAGTCCCACCAAATGTGCTTTTTTGGCGTAAGGATAAGCTTCTTGTACTGGATTGTAACCTTTGGCGTGCTGAATTCTGGGATGTCAAGTCAACTCTGCATTCGAATGTAGCCCATGATCGCGCTGCTTCGTTGGCTAAGGCCACGTCAATATCACTACTAGAACTGTGATTATCGAACGTGAACACATGTCTGGCTAAGTTAAGCACATCTTGAAAAATGAGATGCTGCTGGGTCTCCTTATGATACCTTCATCATTCTTCAGAACACGAAAAACGTTTTATTGTCTGCTCCGAAGTTAAAGTCTTTTAAACAAAATAATTTTTGAATAACAAGGATCTTTATAATTTTTATTTTTAATTTAAGCTGTAAATGCAAGAGCACGAATGTTTTCATTACAAATATTAAAAGTCAATGAACTTAGTATCTTAAGCATTTTGTGACCGTTAATTTATTTATTTATATAAGGCTGACTTAAAGTTTAAAAGTATAAGTTAACTGGTGACAAAGATGTTTAATTTTACTAATGAGATTTGAGAATGTTTCTGTTCTTTGTTGGGAAAATGCAGGGCAGCTAATAGTATCGAGTTTCATGTCTATCTGCGAGTTGTTTCACAATATTAATATTATCTTTGGGTGTGAACACAAGAAATTGCTTGGGTTTCTGGCACTTGGACAAGTAGTCGTTAATGTTGTGGTGAAGCTTGGCTATGTTGTTTTTCCAGAGAGCGTTAGGTGGCATTGAAAGGTTGGCGAGATCAATACATTTCAGTTAACATTTTTTATCTAGCATGAAATTTGTGGGCGCCACAGGTATGGGCGTTAGAGTGGGCGTGGCATTTTCGCGTAAGAAACTTGCGCTGCGTATAAGGCTACGGAATCTAAAAAAAATAAAATTTGATAGTTTCCGAGATATCCGCGTTCATACTTACGATTTTTTTATGTTTTTGGGCGCTAAAGTGGGCGTGGCAAACTTTTTTTTGGGTCAATTGATAGGTTTTGACAAGACAAATACATTTCAGTTAAAAAACTTTTCCTAGCATAAAAACTGTCCAGTCCCAAGAGCCTAACTCTTATATTTTCCGAGATCTCTGCGTTCATACGGACAGACGGACATGGCTAGATCGACCCGGCTAGTGATCCTGATCAAGAATATATATATACTTTATGAAGTCGGAAAAGCTTTCTTCTACCTGTTACATACTTCCCGACAAATCTAGTACACCCTTTTACTCTACGAGTAAGGGGTATACAAATTGAAAACAGACGTTATGTATACAGATTTTAGTAAGACCTTTGACTCTGTAAACCACTCTCTCCTTTTATTAAAATTATATCAGATCGGGCTTCCGAATAATCTGTTAACTTGGATTTGAATTTATTTTAATGGTAGATCTCAAAAGGTTATATTCAAAAACGCTGTTTCCAAGATGATCTACGTGACATCTGGAGTGCCTCAGGGTAGTCATTTAGGCCCTTTGTTGTTTACTCTGTTTATAAATGATCTTCCCTCTATCGTAGCTTACTCTCGTGTACTGATGTATGATGATGACCTTAAGCTTTGAGTTTGCAGCCAGATATTAATAGATTCCAGGAATGGTGTCAGTACACCCTTTTGAATTAAAACTATCTGAAATGCAAAGTTATGACTTCCTATAGGGGTACCCCAATTTCATGAGTTATTCTCTTCAGAACATTTTTTTTTTTTTTTTGTTTTTAGTTTGAATACAGTTATATTTACATCTGCCCAGGGGGCAACCAATTAAATGTTGTGATACTTTGAGTGCGAAATTACAAATTAAGTTTCTTGGTAATTAGTATTTGGTGTGTACAAATGGGTGGGGTTGGTTAATGTGTGACAGTGTGGTTTGTGAGAGTTCCGTCAATTATGATTGTTCTGCCTGGAAAGCATTGTCATCATTAGGTTTTTGAGATGGTCGAACATGGTGTTCATCATGTCTTCCATACGTCGGATCATCCTCTGCTCCAAATCTTCAAGAGGTGACTGGCCATTGAGTGGACTGTTATCGGAGTTCCTATGTAGATTCTGCAACCCCGAAAGGAGGCGGTGTGTTCCTCTCCGCAGTTACCGCACATGGGTGGGATTTCCGTTGTCTTTTGGCAAACAAGAGAGTCGTGTAGTAGACCACATTTAACACAAACATGTTGGAGCTTGCAGTATCTTTTCGTGTGCCCGAAAGCTTGGCAGCGGAAACATTGTACCACTCCATCGAATTTTTTTGGCTCCTCAATGGTGACAACGGCGTGACACAGTCTGTTAATCGCGAAGACTTGCTTGTTGGTGGGAGCTGGTGCAAGGTTAATAAAAAACATTGACAATGGCATTTTGGTTGCCCTTGATATTGCATTTTTAGCGTCTCGCATCTTATGGCCGAGTTTCTCATAGGCCTCCTTAACCTCCGCTAGAGGTGTTGTGTGATGTAGACCTTTAACCACGATGCGATGTTGAGATGATAGCACAATCCTCGAATCGCTACAGGGGACCGCTTACTGGTGCATTCTAACCGCCTGGCAAGACGCCTTGTCACACCACTGGGTCGACATCATCTCCGCAGAAGACACCCCTCGAATCTTGGACCTCGGGCGTGAAAACAAGAACAATTCTTGTGAGGCGTGTTAATAAAGTATGTGCCTACTTAGGCTTACGAGTATATCAAAAACGACGTTTTGAGTGTACAACATCTGCAAGATTCGAGAACTGGTGCGGCGCTCTCCGTATTCCACGGCAATTATTTCGTGGCTAACCTGCGGTCTCACAGCCAAGTGCAAAGAAATGGGCAACCGGTCGGGGATCCTGGCAGCTGCAGATGGCTTCAAGTGTGAGTCGACCTGGAGCTTCGAGGAGGAGGCGCAGCCCCAAGTGCAATCTACAAATTAACGAATTTAGCCATCATATTTATCGGCTATTGTCATATATAACTTCAATCAAAGCTTAAAAACCATTCAAACAAGACAATTTGAAGCCAAAGGATAGTATAATGAATTATTTATTATTGAATGCTATATTTTGTATGCTGTTTAAGCTTTTTCATCAAATATCCCCGCTTGTCGGAGCATCCAGACATCTTAAAGGGAGACTGCTAGACTGCACCCAAAAACTAACTTCATTGTTATCGATTCTTTTGGTTTCGGGAGAATCTCGATTTCTTTGTGGATCAATCGATGTATCGTCACCGTTCTCTATAGCTTATCCGACTATTCTACGGCATTGTTCGGCTCATTCATCAGAGGCTTAGAAAGAGACAGGTATGTATGACAATTACTGGGATTAGTTTGGATAAGAAGGCATGGTCACTTAAACATTTGAACGTTAGCTTTAAACTTTATAACTCAAATAACTTTAACCTTCTGATTGTACTGCTTGAAGCTTTCAAAACTGACTTAGGTAGGTATAAAACTGTCAACAATTAATAATGTATGCTTGCCGTGAAATCACACACTTTTAAAACGACTTGAAAATATTTTTTGGTGCTAAAGAAAGCTTGTAAATGTTTTTATTTTATCATCTCCGGCAAGAATTTTTTCAAATAGCCTTTGAGCTTTTTTTCTGAATGCTATTATATGGTTTTGGGTTTACCTCTAAGAAGCAGCGTCATTTTTGGCTCGCAACGGACTTAAAAAGACGATAACATATTACTCTTGTTGATTTTGCAAGGAGCTAAAACAAGTAAGGAAAAAGCATAAAATTAGTTTTTATACTCGTTCCCATTTTTACTCCAGCTCTAGTGAATGAGCATACAAAAGTGCAAAAAAGAGCTAGTTCATATAACACGAAGCGTTTGTCGCGCTCTTCCCGGCTAATTGTGGACTTGTGCGGGTCGTTTCATTGACTTATAGCTGCTAATTTTAACGCATGGCTTTCAAAGTATTAAACAATAAACTCTATCCCGCCAAGAGCCTCTCGATCCCGCTGTTTTCCCAGTGCCCCGCCATAACTCCGCCACCAAAATCATCCTCATCAGGACACCCTGCTGAGCTGCAATGTCGGACGAGTTGAGGCAGACTTTACAAGTGTTTCGCTCGATTTTATGGGCCAGCTCAGAACGGGGCAGGACTTCCCCTTTCCCACGGGTTGTGTAATTAAATTAAATTGTAATGCAATACAGCTGGCAAAGTTTTGCAGCGGTTATTTCCATGAGGCTCTCGTTACTCTTCGCTCTTTTGCCCGCCAGTAGCCGTCGTCGCTTCTCTAGACGGGCATTAAATTTAATTAATATCTTCCGTTTTTTAACAGACTGCAGTCTTCAAAAATATGATACCATTTTCTTTTGATTCTTTTGGCCTTCAATGCTTAAAGATATTCTTATGAGCCCTCAACAATTATAAGATAATTCTTAAGTATCAAAATATATAAAAATATTATATATTATATTGATTTTGGTATTTTAGATTTAAAAAAGTACTTCCGATATTTTTCCATAAAATAGTTTTCTAGTTGGCCATGCTTTTAAATTCATAATCACTTTTGACGTGACAATCAAAAAAGCAAAAAGGCGAAGCTCGAACTAGCAAATTTATTAATTTATTGAAAACGACTCACAATGAATTCAAAAGATATATATTCTCTTGGTAAGCCAGCCGAAATGGAAAAAACTCGCAGGTATTCATCAAACCCCGAGGATGCCTCCTCCATATCGACTGAACAACCGGCGGCTACATCAACGCCTACTACTTTAATCCGCAAGAGCCCAAGAGTCGCGACCCTTCGTCGGGTATCCGTAGAGTCAGATTTACGCAATTCTTGGGGACATATTAAGGGCCGTAAAACAATTCGTGCTCCCGATACCCCTGAGAGGGCTCTTCGAACCCGGAATATATCAAGCAGTCCAAAAACCCCACGCACTTCCAAGCAACCGAAGACACCGCGGAGCGCAAAAAGGGTGGCAGGTTTGGTCAAACAAAAATATGCGCATATCAAGGGCCGTAAACAGATTCAAGCTCCTAGTTCCCCAACAACGGAGCCTCAGTCTTCATTAAAGACACCGACAACACCGAAGGGTTCCCCAAAAACTACTACCCCTAAAAAACATCCTGAGTCTTCACCAAAGACACCGAAGATGTCGCCTTATACATACATAGAGATTAACTGCTGGGTTCCGAGTCGTTGGAAGACTCCTTGGTCCTGCACCAACAACAATTTTCTCATACGGCGCCAAAGCAAAAAAATTCCGAAACGCCAAGTACAAAAATCACCTAAGCTCGTAAAAAATACTGAATAAAAACTAACTATTGAATCGTTTTGCGCATGCGGTCCTATTTTCCGTTGATGCGAGTTGTAGCGTGCACGTGGAATGGATGAAGCGGATTTTGGTCGCTGTAGCGTGAACTCCTCTGTGTAAATAGTTAGAGCCTATTTTGTTGACAATTCACGAACGCTTGTTCATAAAATGTACCCGAAATTTTGGCAGAGGCGGACGGTCTAGCAGCTGGACCACCGAACGAACTTTTCGAGTATCGACAACCTGTTTGTTTTCATGAATGGTGTTCATAATCTTAGAACGGTGTTATAATATGACCCCATAAAGTTCAAAGCTAAGCATTTTTCCGTGACTCGTTTATAATTTTACATAAATGTTCTTTATTTGACACCGCAGTGTTCTCTTTTATGAACACAAAATAGCGAAGGGATCGTTCTCAAATCGTGAAAAATGTTCTTCATTTTTTTCTTTCTTTTTTTTTTTGTTTGTCCCTTTTTGGTCTCTTCTCGGCCTTCCTTTTCGGAAGGAACTTCTGTGTCTTCCTTTTGAGCTACCACTTCCTTGCTTTTAGCTACCATTTTATTCTTCTGATCGGCTACCTACTGGCCTTTCTTTTCAGGAGCTATCGTTTTGAGACTTTTCCTTGCCATTGGAGGACTTGCTGACACCATTCTGGGTAGATTCGCTTGACTAGGAAGAGTTGGTGGACGAGGTAAGCAGTTGGGTGGTCTTCTTCACAGGTGCAAAGGCCTCTACGATCTTTTCATTGCTAATGCCGCCGCTCATCTAGTGCCTCTACAACTCAGCACCTCAATTACGGATGGAAAATCTCTTCGCATGTCGGGCACTCCATTAAAGTTACCAATGAACATCTTACATCAATCAAATCAATTTGGTGTTGATTGCGGAATTTCCATTTTTTATTCCGAAGACGATTTAAATAAATACAAATTTATTAATGTATAAAAACATACATGTTTACTCACACTCAATATGTTGTCATGTCTTATCTTATATTTGACAATATATAGGAGTGGATAATAAAATGATAAAAACGGGTGTATTGGTATAAAAAATTCAACATAATGTCCTCATGAAATCGATTTAAACCGAAATTAAAGCATACAGTGGCCAATAGATTCCAAGAAAAATAAAAATTACTTCCATTGAGAATTTATTTTTTAAGAAGAAATTGTGAATATTTTGGGAGTTTTAGTTTTGGCGTCAAGTTCCAAAGACTTGGACAATGCACTACAGGTGGCTGACCACATTTTTGGGCCACAAATCCATTTTTCGAAAGTCGTTGTCGGGAAAACATCAAACTTCAATGTTACGTAACAAAAACGGCACCAAACTAAGTTTTTATCAAACAAGTTGTAATGGCATCGAAAGAGAGCGGTTTGTACTATATGTTTGAGTTTCACCTTAATATGTACACTGTGTTGTCGGTAGTTTATTTCTTGTTCATATGAATGCAATCCTAAAGTGTGCAAACACTTTCGTCGCAAATTACCCTTTTAGGTCACAACCTCAGGTTTGAAAATACATAATTGTTTGCGATTTGGAGTTCTGGAGAGAAAAAGTATGACAAAGATCTGCCTATACTTGGCACATTAAGAGCTGCGATAGCTGGTTCAGATGCTTATGAGGATGTTTTGAAAAAACAAAGCGAAGCTTTTTGTTATAGATTGTCCCGCAAAGGACATCTTGCAAAATAAATCTTAATCATTTTAAAAGAAAGTACTCAACTTGGCTTACATCCCACACTGAGGTTTGCATAAACAGGCGGAGATCGACAGGCAGGCCAAAATTGCCTTATTTGTTATTGGGAGCAAGGGCTTAGAGAAGAGTAGTTTCAAATTTAATCAAATCCACGGCTGGAAATATTAAATTATTAATAAATTTAGCAAGTGCGGCTGCGCGTAAGGGCGGTAAATCAGATCTTGCATATATTTTAAAATTGTTGGCTATCTGCCCTGAAAAAGCAAAGAGCATGCGCACCTTAATAAGTCAGCCCGTCGCGAAATTGGAGAAAATACTAGTTAACGACGCACTAGCTGTTCTCTTAGATCAAAATTTAACCAAGCAACAATATATCTCAATTAGAGATCAAACAAAAAACAACCTTGTTTCGAAAATAATGAAAGATCAAGGGTCAAACTTTTTAATAGCCGAACTTCAATATAGTGATGGGTTCGATGGAAGCTGAGGTCATTCGAACTACAAACAGGGACTTGCAGGTCCACAGAAGTGTGATGTCGATGGCAGTATATTCGCCACAACAGTAACATCTTTAATAATGATTGATTCTAGCGGAAATATAAAACGCTATTTTACTGTCATGAAATCATTTAAGTTGTTATAAACAGTTCCATATAGGAAACTAGAATTCTACGGCTTTTGGGAAATTAGATAAATTGTGTTTTCCCACTGGTGCTAGTTAATAACCATATTAATTTTATTAATAATAATGTAGTGCAATGTGTGACGGTAAGCCGTGAATCTATTCGTTTAAGCTTATATATTTATTTTTTTGAACAGAGGAATGCAGTCATTATGTGAGAGTAACAAAATTAGTTTGTAATGTGAAATTAGTTTTGTCCTTTGAAGGGAATATGTTAATGCTGTTACATATTTTTTTCAAAAGAATATCAGTGAGTATTATATAGAATTTGTATTTAAACGAATCTCATTCCCCCCGTCAGGTGCAAAAGTATTATGTATATAACAAACGGACGCATTTTTAGTTTTCAGTATTCCTGTTTTCATTAGTTTTCCACCTGGATTAGATGTATTCTCACATTTTCTTTGATCAATTAAACGCCTTTTAAACAGTTAATGTATTATTTTGTAAATATGCGATCACACTTATAGGTTTGGCTATTTCCATATGCCAGTGAGCAAGACGCGTATGTCATAAAATTATGAACAGCACATTTTACAAACCACAGTTTAAAAGTAAAGTGAAAGTGAAGGCTAAGGACTATTTTCATTTTGTGGGTTATATAAGTTTTTTTTTTGTAATATTTTGTAGTTAGTATAATTACTAAATTTTTCTATCGATAGTGATAGTTGCTCGCAGCAATTGTAGAATATGCATTCGAACTGCTCCCCTGATATGCAGTCGCTAAAGCGCAGGGAACCCACTTCTTCTCCAACCATATGGAATCTTTAAGCAGGAATTGCAGGACGCAAGTGTAGTCGCCGCAATTGGTGTCTTCCTCATTGGTGATGGCGACTGCATATTGGCGATCCTTCGGCATCACTTTCGTGTATGGAGGACGGCTGTCCTCTTCCTAGTAAAAAAAGTAAAAAATTATTTTCTTCATGTATTTATCAAGTAATATTATAAGCCTGGGAGAAATTTAAACACAAATTTAGTTTAGTTTTGAAACTAAAGCCGTTTTCCAGGAGTGGTGTCCACGGCAAGCCACTTGAAATCGATAGAAAGATAAAATTGGGACGTTTATGTTTTTTGGCAATTTTAAAAAATTGTAACAGAATAAATATTTTTTTTGCGTAGTCCTGATACACGGTTTTCTTCTTTACCGACTAGTAAGTTTAGCCAAAAACGAAGTTCGACTTGTAAAAGAACCGTCCTCATAGGTATTGATGGTTACGTCTTAGTAGAGCGCTGCTACTTGACTTAATTTTGCTGTTTTGCGATTTGATTTAACAAAGAAAGATATCGAGTTAACTTTTTAACAATACTAAAAATACCGAATACTAGAAATATGACTTACTAAATACTAAGTACCAAATATACTGAATAATGGAAATTGGGTATTTTTTGAGCTCTTTTATAGGTAACGCGTAAGTGTTTTTATGGGTGAATGGCCACTCTATTCGACCTGCTGCCATCTGTGCAGTCGGATTCGGACCATTGCAGGGGCATGATCTACAATGACAGCGTTAAAATCACAACTGCGGTGGAACTGATATGGAATCCTATTGTTGTTTATTGTTCTTAAAACGCCGATTTATATTTGCCTTGATATGCCTTAGGGAATATCCAAAAGATCTATTTAAACTTTTTTTTTTTTGATAAAGCATTATTAATGTCTAGGATTCAAGCACTGCTGCCTGTCTCGATGTGTAGTACACTCGCCTTAGACAGTCTCATGAACCGTGGCTGGTCTGTCCGCACTGTTGGCAGTACCTGTACTGCTTCCGATATTTTCCCATAAAATAGTTTTCTAGTTGGCCATGCTTTTAAATTCATAATCACTTTTGACGTGACAATCAAAAAAGAAAAAGGCGAAGCTCGAACTAGCAAATTTATTAATTTATTGAAAACGACTCACAATGAATTCAAAAGATATATATTCTCTTGGTAAGCCAGCCGAAATGGAAAAAACTCGCAGGTATTCATCAAACCCCGAGGATGCCTCCTCCATATCCACTGAACAACCGACGACCCTTCGTCGGGTATCCGTAGAGTCAGATTTACGCAATTCTTCGTTAGTAGGTCGAATACCCGAGACTTGGGGACATATTAAGGGCCGTAAAACAATTCGTGCTCCCGATACCCCTGAGAGGGCTCCTCGAACCCGGAATATATCAAGCAGTCCAAAAACCCCACGCACTTCCAAGCAACCGAAGACACCGCGGAGCGCAAAAAGGGTGGCAGGTTTGGTCAAACAAAAATATGCGCATATCAAGGGCCGTAAGCAGATTCAAGCTCCTAGTTCCCCAACAACGGAGCCTCAGTCTTCATTAAAGACACCGACAACACCGAAGGGTTCCCCAAAAACTACTACCCCTAAAAAACATCCTGAGTCTTCACCAAAGACACCGAAGATGTCGCCTCATACATACATAGAGATTAACTGCTGGGTTCCGAGTCGTTGGAAGACTCCTTGGTTTTGCACCAACAACAATTTTCTCATACGGCGCCAAAGCAAAAAAAATCCCAAAACGCCAAGTACAAAAATCACCTAAGCTCGTAAAAAATACTGAATAAAAACTAACTATTGAATCGTTTTGCGTATGCGGTCCAATTTTCCGTTGATGCGAGTTGAAGCGTGCACGTGGAATGGATGAAGCGGATTTTGGTCGCTGTAGCGTGAACTCCTCTGTGTAAATAGTTTGAGCCTATTTTGTTGACAATTCACGAACGCTTGTTCATAAATTGTACCCGAAATTTTGGCAGAGGCGGACGGTCTAGCAGCTGGACCACCGAACGAACTTTTCGAGTATCGACAACCTGTTTGTTTTCATGAATGGTGTTCATAATCTTAGAACGGTGTTATAATATGACCCCATACCGTTCAAAGCTAAGCATTTTTCCGTGACTCGTTTATAATTTTACATAAATGTTCTTTATTTGACACCGCAGTGTTCTCTTTTATGAACACAAAATAGCGAACGGATCGTTCTCAAATCGTGAAAAATGTTCTTGATTTTTTTCGTTCTTTTTTTTTGTTTGTTCCTTTTTGGTCTCTTCTCGGCCTTCCTTTTCGGAAGGAACTTTTGTGTCTTCCTTTTGAGCTACCACTTCCTTGCTTTTAGCTACCATTTTATTCTTCTGATCGGCTACCTCCTGGCCTTTCTTTTCAGGAGCTATCGTTTTGAGACTTTTCCTTGCCATTGGAGGACTTGCTGACACCATTCTGGGTAGATTCGCTTGACTAGGAAGAGTTGGTGGACGAGGTAAGCAGTTGGGTGGTCTTCTTCACAGGTGCAAAGGCCTCTACGATCTTTTCATTGCTAATGCCGCCGCTCATCTAGTGCCTCTACAACTCAGCACCTCAATTACGGATGGAAAATCTCTTCGCATGTCGGGCACTCCATTAAAGTTACCAATGAACATCTTACATCAATCAAATCAATTTGGTGTTGATTGCGGAATTTCCATTTTTTATTCCGAAGACGATTTAAATAAATACAAATTTATTAATGTATAAAAACATACATGTTTATTCACACTCAATATGTTGTCATGTCTTATCTTGAGTAACAGTCATTATGTGAGAGTAACAAAATTAGTTTGTAATGTGAAATTAGTTTTGTCCTTTGAATTCCCTTCAAATGTTAATGCTGTTACATATTTTTTTCAAAAGAATATCAGTGAGTATTATATAGAATTTGTATTTAAACGAATCTCATTCCCCCCGTCAGGTGCAAAAGTATTATGTATATAACAAACGGACGCATTTTTAGTTTTCAGTATTCCTGTTTTCATTAGTTTTCCACCTGGATTGGATTTATTCTCACATTTTCTTTGATCAATTAAACGCCTTTTAAACAGTTAATGTATTATTTTGTAAATATGCGATCACACTTATAGGTTTGGCTATTTCCATATGCCAGTGAGCAAGACGCGTATGTCATAAAATTATGAACAGCACATTTTACAAACCACAGTTTAAAAGTAAAGTGAAAGTGAAGGCTAAGGACTATTTTCATTTTGTGGGTTA